AAAATTAATAATTATATATTTATAACATTTTCTATACTTTTTAACAGTGTTAAATGTAAATATCATAATAATATATACAGATAATAAAGTTGATCAATAAGAATAAGTTTCATCGGTACCAAGCTTTCAGCTGTTTCTTTTTTCAATGTTTTTTATACATTATGTATAAACCCATTAATAATGGAAGACATTTATAACTATTTTAAACTTTTTATCAATCTCTATTAAATCTTATTAATGAATATGAAAAAGTTGGGGTATTGTATCCCTTTTACTTTTTTACTCATTCAAGTTTATATGTAAAATGTTTAAATTAAAAGTTTAGGTCGCACTAAAGAATCGCGGAGTACATATATTTAAATGATTCTTTATTTGCAAGCGTACTAATAAAAAAAACTGTTATATATGAAACATTTGTCATTTTTTCTCTCTTAAAGGATTTAAATATTTTCACTTTTGCCTGCCTAATCACAAGTAAAATTTTTATTTCATTAAATTTTCAGATAAAAAAACGAAACCATAGTTTAAAGCATTGGCATTGACTGTTCTAATAAATATTGTGAACAGTTCCACATAAATTTAGTTCCAGTTGAAGGATTTAGTTCCTTGAGCAACTATTTCTCTCATCTCTGCTCTAATGTCCAGCCACAAGGAGAAGTTGATATCGAACTCCCTGAATATAATATAGTAGTAGTAGTGGTAGGCTTATATATCAATACAACGCTCACCACTTACTTTAGCTTATAATGGGCATAGAGACAAACAAAACGGTGAAACTAAAATATAATCTGCTACCTAAATGGAAAATGTTTTTCTATTTTTGAAATAAATTTTTGTTTATATCTTATTCTCAAAATAACGACTTCCCCCCCCCTCCCTCAATATATCTAATTCCATGAATAAAAAATACATATTCATTTTATATTATTATTTAGATATATAATAAAAAGAAAATGAATAATGGCAAAGTAAAAAAAAAGGCGGAAATGAGGAAATAGAGCTGCATTGTCTGAAGTAAGTAACAATTGGTCCAATTTATTCTATTCTATGCATAATATAAAAAGGTTAGACCCAACAAAACAAGAAATGTAAGTTTAAATTCATTTAAACCTTTGAAAAAGTGTTGTAAACTGCAAGGCTATGAGGGCTATTTTTATTGTAAAAAAGGCAATTCCCCAGATTATTCTGCCTTCATTGTTGGGTAGAACATATATATTGGTTATGTGAACTATTTGTTTTCATAATAAAAAAAAATTATCCTTTTGATTGACATTTTCTGTTTTTATTTTTCTCCTGTATTTTTGTATTTTATTATAAAGCTTAAGTAGAAAGTCGTCTTCAATTTATAGATATAAATGCTAACCACTGCACTAGAAACTTTTGTGTACCGTCCCGTTTTGTCTAATATAGTCTGCCTGTGTACTGCACAGCCTTGTCTAGCTGTACGTCAGCCCTGCACTTGAAATCGACCATATGTTTTACAAAATTGTGTGTAATAAATAAAATGATATTTTTACCTAGGCGCTCTCTCTTGCAGATATGCTGTGAACAGAATAAGATAACAGTATCGTTCAATAAAATTCTGTCCCATTTGTCTCCAGAAAGCCTAAAATATAAATTATAAAAAATGCCAGGAGTGTTTTCAGAACTTAATATTTTCCATGCACAAGAAACTTTATATTGAGAAATAGGTTATATCACAAACTCTGAAAAGGATCATTCATTTAAGTATCAAACCCATTTAAAAGTGTTCAGTTAAGTTTTTTTCACATAATTAAAAAGTGTTGGTCTTGCAGACTATTCAAATATCTTATCTATACAATAAAACAAGACATTCATATATATGTTCTCTATAGCCGGCCAAACGGCCGTACCCAATGGGCTGATATTTTTGAGGAAACCCATGGTTACCCTGGGGGTTACAACTTACATAGGCAAAACAAATTCTAAAATTTGTATTTTTCAAAATCTAAATAAAAAAAAATCGGAATAAAAAAAAACGTTAATTCCACGGGCAACGCCGGGTCCTTCAGCTATTCATATATAAAAACACATGTTCTTTATTATTCCTCTCAAAACTTTTTCAATGCTTTGTTTATCGTTTGTCGGTTTGTTCTTTTTGAACAACCCCTATTTAAAGTTTGTGACCACCCCCTTTAGATGGTTGAAAAAAATGTGAAAACTTGGTATCTCTAAGTTTGTAAGAATAGAGTTGTCCAAGTTAATTTACCGCTACCATTACTTTCTCAAGGACTGTAAATATAAAGATAAAGTTTAAAGATATAGTTCCTGAAAACATTAAACAGAAATTAGAGGATTTACAGGGTGTCCCACGAAACATGACAGTTGGTAAATAGTTTAGAACGTCTTCTTCCATAATTTGTTAAGTTGAAAATGATAAAAATATCATATAGGTATCATTATACTAAAATTAACTTCAAAGGAAAAATACATTTGAGCAAAATATTTTTTAAATAAAATAAACTGTAAACAGCGTTTAATATCCAATACAGTGTATGGAAGACGACTTTCAAACTATTTACCAACTGTCATGTTTCATGGGACACCCTGTACCTCCCAACATAGATACAAAATATAAACTACCCACTTTTGCAATTCCAACATTTTATTAACAAAAATATGTTTTCAAAACATTTATGCAAAAAAGTCATTTCCGTTTTCGATGTACTGGGCCATTTTTTAATAAGACATATAGCTTAGGTTCACATATCTGCAGTACACTAACTTTACAATTACAACATCGTTGGAAAAATTCTAAATTACCTGTTCCTTATGATTTTAAGAAAACCTTCGAAATAAATTAATAAAAATCCTAAATTTTCTTTGGTTCCCATCGCAAATTCAGAATATCAACAAAATGAGAAAAAACTGTTAGTCCGCTATTTCTAGTATAACATTATTCGTATGTTACACAATAAATTTAGATAGCTTAATACAATCGTTATGATTTTTTATGTAATATTTTAACAGTGCAGACTACAGTGTAATTAGATCCATTCTTACCTTTTTATTTTTAGGTTCAAAGTTAAACTTTGTCTCAGCCCACTGTATACATTCACGTAGGTTCTGTAGACCAGTACCACCTTAAATAATATTATTGTGTAGACCAGTACCACCTTAAATATATTAATTGTGTAGACCAGAATACCATCTTAAATATTATTATTGTGTATACCAGAGTACCACCTTAAATATTATTATTGTGTAGACCAGAGTACCATCTTAAATATTAATCATTGTGTATACCAGTACCATCTTAAATATTAATCATTGTGTAGACCAGTACCATCTTAAATAATATTATTGTGTAGACCAGTACCTCCTTAAATATTATTATTGTGTAGACCAGAATACCACCTTAAATATTATTATTGTGTAGACCAGAGTACCATCTTAAATATTATTATTGTGTAGACCAGAGTACCATCTTAAATATTAATCATTGTGTAGACCAGTACCATCTTAAATATTAATCATTGTGTAGACCAGTACCATCTTAAATAATATTATTGTGTAGACCAGTACCACCATAAATATTATTATTGTGTAGACCAGAGTACCACCTTAAATAATATTATTGTGTAGACCAGAGTACCACCTTAAATATTATGGCCACGAAACCGGGTTAGCTCTCTTAAGTCTGGGTTTGAGTTTCGTAAGGGTTTCGGGAAACTCCGGAAACTCAGAATGTTACGGGGCAATACCGATGCTTCTGACCTCATCGGATACTAAACGAACACTGATGCATCTATTCTTGTTTACAAATTCCGATTGAATTATAATTTTAATCAAGAAACAAATTTTGTAAGAATAAAGGATTTCTAAAGTTTGAAGGGATTTTCTTCGACCTAAGTTATTTTCTTTGAAAACAATTTATAAATAAGTTTCAAAACTTTTCTTTGAAAATCTAATTATAAAATTTATTTTCAACAAGTTTGCTTTAAGTTTTTCAAGAAAGAAAAGTTGTTTGAATAAATTCCAAAGTATATTCTTTTTGATCATGTCAAAGATATATGTTTGTACTATGTACACTGCAAAATCAAACCAAGGAGTATGAAATACTTTAGAGCAGGAGTCGACCCAATCCTCCTCATTTTATGATTAAATGCATGTTTGATAACTAAAAAACATATTTTGAAAAAAAATATCTTTAAGTAATAATAAAACACATTGAAAAAAACCATCTTTAACGATGTTATTTCTAAATGGAAAGTAAGTCAGCAAAACATAAATAAGGTGGAATTAGTCGCCGCCTGCTCCATGGTATTCCTACACTTCTTTATCTTATCTTTTATATCAAGAAAACTTCTTTATTTGTCAAAACATGTTTCAAGAAATTCTATTTCTTAACTTTATATCAAGTTTTGTCTCATACATTTCTTTTACTCTTTAGCCAAAGATCTGCAGTATTGCAATGTTAAAAACTCTCAACCAGCCCCCCCCACCCCCC